GTTAGATGTAAATCAGACGAGATATATGTTACAATTAAGTTCAGCCGATGATTAATGCATGCGTTACTGACACTAACAATATAATAAAGTATAATATATCTGTATTCATATAAGTATAATCTTTTTTCTTAGCGTGTTGCTTTAACACGAGTCCGCTTTTCATAATATATAACATTACCAACTACAACGTCTATAGTAAAATGTGATGCAGCTATGATATATGTGAATGGCTGTAAAGATCTGAGACGTAAGAGTGATGCCGGAACGTCGTTAAACGGATGACTTTTGACGAAATATCTTGGAAGAACTGCATCCACAATCGAGCACTGCTTACACCACAATACCAAAAAAAGTGGTGCTAAATTGTGCGCAATATCCTTAATCCTTCAAGCAGAAGCAACATCCTCAATCTTTACCTTTACTTTTCCTGTGAAACACGTTATACAGATGCTCCTCGCTGTACGATGATTGAACTTACGATATTTCTACTTTACGATGATGGTGCGATAGCAATGAACCCCCAGTCTTTGCAGCGATCGCGAGCGTAAACATCTAACGCAGTGTATCAGACGGTAACGATACAATCGTAATTATGAGATTTGCAAAATTTGAAAAACAAATACAGGATGCATTTGCTTGCTATAAAGAAATTTATAATGAAAAGAAGAAACAAATTTTCCTGTCAAAGCTTTGTATCTTCCTGTAGAAGCATGTGTCTGTTTCTGAACCATCAGTAAGTGTCGACAATGCAAAGCCTTCTACGAACTATGCCTGCGAACGTGAATCATCAGCAGAAAAAGGCTGATGACCCTGTCATTATTGCCTCCTCCTCAAAATCATCTTTTAGCAATTAATTTTAACTTTTCGATTACTGATATTTAGTTAATTGCAGTAAATATTCGTTCATTTATTTATTAAAATACAGAAGTTATTTATTTATCACATCATACTTATATTCGACTTACGATGTGTTCGTCAGAACGTAACTCCATCCGAATTCGAGGAGCATCTGTAAAACATTACCTTTCCATGTACAATACCAATTCAGTCTATGCAAGTGGATCTCACTCAGTGCTGAAATAATTCATCCCACTGCCCCTGAATACCAGCTATTTAATATTACCTCATTTAAAACGCAGGATGAAACCTGGTCTTTGAGAACGTGTTCTATTTTTAAAACAGTTATAAATTTTTAATTAGCAAAAATTAAAACTACGCAGTGGTATTAAAATCTTCTGAAAAAAAATAATCAGTCCTTGCTCTCCGCTGTCTCTTGCTGTTTCGAACCATTTTCTTCTGCACCTTTGATTGGTCTACTCCATCGCTTTTTCAGCTCTTCGCTGAGCCAAGATGGACGTGGCCTCTTCAACTCCACTATGTGTTTTTCAGCCGCCTCCTTTTCGGACAAAACTTCGTCACTGTACAAAACAACCTTTTCTCGATCTGTCACATGTCTTTCGCTATCCGTCATCAGCTTTTGTTTGATTGCCTCAGTTTCCTGCCGTACTTTTTGGTAACAATAGCCTAAATCGGTAAAAAGTAATGCGATGGGTTAATGTACCTGGTAAACGTGGGTTATACCACAGATGGTGTGCAACTCGTGCATGCGGCCACAGTTCTGACATGCGATAAGGTTTTTCTTTCCATGGATTAGTTTATTGTACGAGAACATCTTTGTCCGTTTCCAGGCTTGAAAGCAAAATCATTATTAAACTATTTCAAGTTCAGCACAGCCAAGTACTTTCAGTTATAACAATAAATATACTGGTAATTATCAAATACACTTCAAGGAGAATTAGAAAAGTTAAGAGTTGCTGCCTGTGTACCTTGTTGTGGCTACCTTTGAAAAACACAGCGAAGTCTCTGCAGCGCATGCGGATGCAGTGGAGCTACATTTTGCTTATTAATTATGCTGAAAAATGGTTTATGAAGATGACTCATATCGATCTGGGTTCAGAATTGAATGCATACAGTAACAAGTGCGATAGGACACTATTTTGTACTGTAAAAGTTCAGAAGACTATAGTTTTATTGGGAGCTTGCCTACACGTTCACTAATGACAAACTGAATTTTAAAAATAACTGATAAAAATTACTACAGAAAAATTATGTTCGAGCTGAACTCAAACGACTTTTTTGACCAGGATCACAAATAAGCTTGTCTGCCATTCGATTCGGTTCTCTGGCTTACGTAAGATCTAACGCTGCCGAATGTGTCCAGCAGTTGCATGGAGCAGAACGACCTTCGGACATGTGGTCAGCTGTGAAATAAACAGCTAGTCTGACAGCACTGGGTGGCGGGCACGGACAATGCGAGAGCGGTGTTAGAGCTTGCAACGCTTTAACAATTGGCGAGGATTGCTGAAAAATAACACAAACACGTCTACAGTATGATAAAGTGATGAGTGTATGCCAATAAATTTGCATGGCTCAAACCTTAAAAAACTATAGTCGGTTCAAGGCTTAATCGAGAGGTGTGATTTTTATCATGTTCACAACTGGTCATTGCGCCACTTTTGCTGATTCGCCATCCTGCATATATGCTCAGCGTGGTAGTTCAGCTATCGGTCTGAGCTTGATTTAGAAACGAACAATAAAGATGTTTGTTTTAAATACTCATGACTATCCTCCCCCCCCATGTCGGCTATAAGTTTTGTTTATAGGTCGTTTTCGCATTTATTTCCATTGTTACTTATTTGCTATTTTAATTTGTGCAACTGATGAAAAATAAAAGTGCCATCAAATGCATATTTTTTGGCCACCTTAATCAAACATCCTCTTATATAACCACTTCTCCTTTCGGGTCATGGTCTTGCTCAAACAGTAAAGTCTTTCCTTTAAACTCAGTTCTAAAAGATCACTAGCTGAATCAGGAGTCAGCTTAAGAAGTAACTCCTAATTGTTGAGGCCAAATCGCATGGGGACGGCTTAATTTCAGGAAACTTCGGCGTATGATATCGTACGTACCAAAAGTCGTTTTCCTAACCGGTGCACCAAGCAATATGCTGAGATTTACTCCCAACGGCGACCGCAATTCACCAACTTGTTGCTCTGTCAGCCTCTCATCATATTCTACATCATGGCTAGTGCTAAGCGGTTTCGCGACAGCCAAACGGGCAAGTACAGGTTCGTCATCCAAGAAACGAAGTGCTAAAAAGCAAGGTTCAGTCAGAGATCGATTGCTGTCAGTTGTCGCACCTGTTTTTGGTAACGATGAAAGATACTGCAGAAACCGTCGCAAGCCAGTAGCCATGGTTATGTCATCTGCAAAACGTGACGTAGTAGCAAGACTGAAATAATATACATAAACAAAACAATTAACAGG